GAAAGATTTGTCATGCTACAGGGATTTTGGCGGCATGGAATTCTTGCCTTTTCTCATTTTAAGGGATTCTGATTTCCCTTTATTCAAGAGACTGGCTAGACTCATTCTTTTCTTTTTTTTAAATATATTTTATTGATTTTTACAGAGAGGAGGGAAGAGGGATAGAGTTAGAAACATCAATGAGAGAGAAACATCGATCAGCTGCTTCCTGCACACTCCCTACTGGGGATGTGCCCGCAACCCAGGTACATGCCCTTGACCAGAATGAACCTGGGACCTTTCAGTCCGAAGGCTGACGCTCTATCCACTGAGCCAAACCGGTTAGGTCTAGCCTCATTCTTAATGGGGGGAGGAAGGAGGGATGATTTAAACGCATTTCCTCTTAAGGTGTTCTACTTACTGCCTAGGTATGTAGTATTTCCAACAAGCAAGCTGCAGTCTGTTGGAATCTATAATAATGAAAGTGTAATATGCTAATTAGATCGGACAGCCAAATGACCTTTTGGCTGTCATTCGGACATCCTCTGGACAAAGCCACGGCAGTGGGGGCCAAGGCAGAGGTGGTTAGGGGCGATCAGGTAGGCAGGTGAGTGGTTAGGGGCAATGAGGTAGGCAGGCAGAGTGGTTAGGGGTGATCAGGCAGGTAGGCAGAGTGGTTAGAGGTGATCAGACAGGCAGGCAAGTAGTTAGGGGTGATCAGGCAAGCAGGCAGAGTGGTTAGGGAGATCAGGCAGGCAGGCAGGCAGTGTGGTTAGGGGAGATCAGGCAGGCATGCGGAGGGGTTAGGGGGAGGCAGGCAAGCAGGCAGGCGAGCAGTTAGGAGCCAGTGGTCCCGAATTGCGAGAGGGATATCCAACTGCTGATCCTGCAGGGAGGGGATTGGGCCTAAACTGGCAGTTGGACATCCCCCGAGGGCTCCCGGATTGCGAGAGGGTGCAGGCCGGGCTGAGGTCCCAACCCCTGTGCATGAATTTCATGCACTGGGCTTCTAGTTTATACATAAAAGGAATTTATACATTAAAAAGATGAAACAACTTGGATATGGGGTTTATGATTGTCATTTTAAGAAAAATTGATTGATGGCATCAATTACATGCATAGTTGGGGTAAGTGTCATAAGCCTGAAAAAAATACGTTTCGGATTGTGACCAAACAACAACAGTAATTTAAGTGAGCAGTAAAACTACAGGGATGAGTGATAGGCATCCCCACCTCGGGCCCAGGAACTGGAACCATTTTCTAACTCAAGAGCCTAGAGGCCCTAGATCCAGGGGTTTGATCACTCAGAACATTCATCTGGAAGAATAGTTCTTATTAAAACTTGAGATGTTTTCCTATGGAATATTTCAACTGGAATTTAAACTAATTAGGTTTATATTTCCTGAAAGGCTTCCATGTATATCACTGTGAAAGGAATGGTAGAGGGAGTGATATAAAGATTTAGCCCTGGCTGGACTGCTCAGTGGTTAGAGCGTCTGCCCACGGACTGAAGTGTTGTGGGTTCCATTCCAGTCAAGGGCAGGTACCCTGGAAAAAATATCCTTGGGTGAGGATTAACAACAACAACAACAACAAAAGATAATGAAGATTTGAATACACATTTTCTGCTCTCTAGAGATTTACACTTTAGCTGAAGCCATGTGGCATATAACATGTGATCACTTGGGTGTCATTGAGAGACATACAATGTGTGAATAGTACAAATGTGTTTGGGGAGTTGGGGGTTCTGTGGACTTTAGTGATGATAGGAAGAGAAAGGAGGCTTGAGTGGGCTGGCTGCCTGGTGGGATGTGGCCTGAAAAGAAAGGGATAAGGAAATAAAAAGTGCCCATCCACCTGGCTGAAGTTGCTAGTCCAAGATCAGGAGGAATCCATCCATCCATTTATCAGCAGCTATACTGTGCTCATGAGACAGTTGGTACCAAAATCTGGAAGAGATAGCTGGAACTCATATAAGCAGGACATTTGCAGGCTAAATACAATGCACTGATTTGATTTGTGAGTAAAGAAAATTTTCAGAAAAGTTGAAGAAGAGGGTGATGGTCTCAATTGCTCTAATCGTCAATGAGGAATGTGAAACTTTAATACCAGAACCAGCAGTTAAGTATCTTGGGGAAGCTCCTTTTAAATATATATGGCAACTTTTGCTACATTTCTATTTGCACTTATATATTATAAGAATTTTATCCTTTTATTTGCTCTGTAACAGGATACCTGCTGTGTGTCAGGCTCTGTGGAGGGACCAGGGACCTCCTACACTCAAGGACATCACAGTCCGGAAGGAAAGACAAACAAATCAATCCACAAGCAAGTGACCGCAGGTTAGGACTATGGCCAGGAGCGGTGGTTCAGGAGTGCTGCAGGGAGCTGAGGAGGGGCTCTCCATGCTGACCTAGGGGCCGGTGAGCTCGGGGGCAGCTTCTTCCCCCCCACCCCCCCACCCCCGGTTTGACTTGCGTGAGTTGAAATCCCCTCCAAGTAATCTCCACATTTTATCTCTTCCTCTTCATCCCTATAATTGCTCAGGAACTTCTCACTTCTCACCAGGAAGCATATAAAATGAGAAAAAGGCAGGATGGAATCCAGAGAAGAAGGCAGTGGAGCCCAAGAAAGAGCGTCAGTGGGGCAGAAGGAAGTTAATAGAGAAGTGGTGCTAAAGGCCAAGGGAAGGGCCTTCTAAAAGGAAGGGCTGGTCCACAATAAAAAAATGTCACTCAAAGGTTGGGTGGGACAATGTATGAAGAGTGTCCTTTTGATCTGACAGCTGAGAGGTTTTTGATAACAGTCAGTGGGTAAAACTGGGAAGGAGACAGTTTCTCTGCAGGGCCCGCAGTTTGGACAGTCCCCTTCACTTTGGGTGGTGTTTTATTCTACCACCATGCACCCCAGGAAGGGACGTTACCCTGGAGCTTCTGGCTGACATCCCAGTGTCCTCCAATGCCACTGAAACATACTTGTCCTATCTGCCATCTCCAGACTCTCGGTCAACTTTGCTCCACTCCATAGTGATGTTTTCCTGAGTAAATCAGAAAAAAAAAAAAAGAATCCTTGTAGACAGGCAACGACTAATTAGCAAATATGCAAAGCTCTCAGCCTCCTTTCACTTATGCCATCATGGATCTGAGTGTAGAATGAAGCCTCCGTAGTGAAGTTCTCTCCATCCTTGCGGGTTTGGGTTTATGAAAACAAAGGAGAGGAAGGTGCTGGTCAGTTGGAGAATATGTGTAGACCACTGGAGCCTTGCTATGTACTATGGTCTGAATGTTTGTGTCCCCCCAAATTCATAAGTCGAAATGTTAATGCCCATCTCCATGGCATTAGTAGGTGGGGGTGCTTCTGGGGGTGATTAGGTCATGAGGGCAGAGCTTTATGCCCTTGAAAACAAATGCCCAAGAGAGCTCCCTTGCCTCTCTGTCACGTGAAGAAACAAGGAGACGACTCCACTCAGAAGCGGGCCCTCGCTCAAACCTGCTGCACCCTGATGTTGGACGGCCAGCCTCCAGCACTGTGAGAAATGCATTCCTGTTGTCTCTAAGCCCCCTAGTCCATAGTTTGTTTGTTTTTCTATAGCATCCCAAATGGACCAAGACACCGTGCTTCTCAGATCACATGGGCTTGTGCATGGATGGCAGAAGGAGTAGCAGGGAGGGAAGGAGACAGAAGGATGGAGAGACAGAGGCAGAAGAGAAAAAAATAAACTGCAGAGGAAGTAGTTTTAAATTTTCACTACCAGACAAGAACTAACTGACAAGAACTCGAGTCACACACATGCCTATAGTTAGTACCTCAGGTTTTCTGTCTCATCCTTTATGTTGCCTCCAGATAGTAAAACACCTAAAAGTACCTTCAGGCCTATTCTTCAGCATGACAAAATTTCCTGCTTCTTGTCTATGTGGACCAAAGAGGACTGAGATTACATCTTTTCTTTTTCCCCCAGGGGTTTATTAGAGAGTCTCTTGGGATTAAATGTCTGCGAAAGGGAGGCGAGGATGGGCAAAGGCAGCAGTTGAGCTGAGATGCCTATCTAGGAGAAGCCGCAGATAACCTGCAGGGAAGGATGAAATGGGATGCCCTTTAGAGATTGCGTCAGAGATGGCTGGTGCTGGCAAGAAAGGGCCTTTGAAGCTGGAATCTACCAGTCCCTGGATATGATTGAGGAGCGGGAACATGGCTTTAGGGAGGAAGGTAGCTCCCTGGAGCTGTGGCAACCCCCAAAGGGGACTGGAAGATGAGGGCTCTCTGTTGGTGGCACTCCCAGAGGCTGAGATAAGGGCTCTTTTATTCCTGAAGGGGATTCAGGTAGCTTATCACACCCATTACACTCTTCAATGTTATATAATATCATACAATTTAGCAGATAGAATGGAGGAGGTAATAAACATTGCAAAAGCATGTTGTCAAATTGCTATTTAACAGAACATTAGGTTTAAAAATATTACCCATTCGATTAAATTTCTCCCCCTCTTATAATGACTTTTGCCTCCAAGGGGGTCACTGAAGAGCAGTTTGTTTCACAGAGCAGCCAAGCTGTTAATATGACTATTTAGATATAGAGAAATAATGTTTTTACAATGGTGATTGCTAAGAATGGTTAGAAATAAAGGGAAAATAAAATTTTTATGTTTTTGTTTTATCTAGTAACATTAAAACAAAAAAGATTGCTCTATAGGTTTGGCAGCAGGCAAGGAGGTAGGTATAAGACACTCCCAGCTTGCCACGAAGTTCTAAGAGCCTCCATCTGTCTTCTGCATCCATCGCTAATTCCCCCCAGGTTTGCAGCTTTCCATCCTTGGTTTAGTTCTCAGGGTTAGTACAATCTGCGGGCCAGCAAATAACCAGCACTGCGGAATCCCCTTCTTCAATGTTTACAGTCCTTGGTGGCTCCCAGATGCCTCTGGATGAGGTTTAGACCCCTTAATATGGTCTCCCAGGTGCTGCAAGATCTGACCTGGTGGCTCCACATGCCTTTATCCCCCTTGCTCTCCTCTTTCAGATCCTGGACATGCTTTGGCTTTCGCTCATTTCCCATCCCCTAAAATATCCCTCCCTTCCCATTCCCTAAGCTCTCTCCAACTTTCCCTGGCATTTCATTATATTGTAACTGTCTATGCCCCAAATAAGGTCCAGAATCTACATGGCTCAATCCTAAATGCAGATTGTATTTAAAGCCACAGTGGTCCAGCATTGCAAAGGTAATTGAAAGCATTTTAATTTTTACCGCAATTGAAAATGCCTGAGTGGGCACACAGTCTGAACACTCAGCCGAACATCTTAATCCTTTCTTTACCTTATTCCCATTAACTCCCCCATGCTCTGAAACTTGCGTACGCTCCAAAACCAACCAGGAGATGTGATAAAGAAAGGGTTTGGGAATTTGGTTTTGTTTGCTAGTTTAAAGACATTTTTTATTGATTTCAGAGAGGAAAAGAGAGGGAGAGACATAGACACATCATTGATAACAGAGAATCATTGATTGGCTGCCTCCTGCACGCCCCCTACTGGGGATTGAGCCTGCAACTTGGGCATGCGGCCCAATCAGGACTCAAACCATGACCTCCTGGTTCAGAGTCAAAGCTCAACCATTGAACCACACTGGCCAGGCTGTTTGTTTTTCAGGTGATGAAAACGTTCTAAAACTGGCAATTTATGTGTCTGAATAAAATTGAAAAATATACTAAAAACATTGGATTGTACACTTTAAATGGGTGAAATGTATAGTATGTAAAGTAAAGTTGTTATTAAAAAATACTTCCTTACAAATCTGTCTTCCCCATGATAACTATGAATTTCACAAGAGCACTTTAAGATCCATCTGTAGCAGTGGTCAGCAAACTCATTAGTCGACAGAGCCAAATATCAACAGTATAACGACTGAAATTTCTTTTGAGAGCCAAATTTTTTAAACTTAAACTATATAGGTAGGTACATGGTTATTAACTTAATTAGGGTACTCCTAAGGCTTAGGAAGAGCCACATTCAAGGGGCCACAGAGCCGCATGTGGATCGAGAGCCGCAGTTTGCCAACCACGGCTCTATAGGCCAAGGCTATCCGCTAATCTTCTATTTACCCATTTACATGTGCAGCTCCTCCAAGGATTACAGAGAGACACTCACAGCAGGACTAGTTTTCTTGCTGGGAGGATTCACATTGCATGTTGGTCAGCTACTTCAAGCAATAAATGTATTGCTGGAAAATTATCTTTAAATCTTTAAAAATGGGTATTACAAATAAAAATTTAGTTCAAATATTTTAGGGGTGTTTATTTTTAGAAAATTCTTGTTAAACAAAACACTTTTTCTAATAAAATTTTATTTTAAAATAATTTTAGGTTTACAGAAAAGTTGCATTTTTACAGAGGATTCTCAGTTTCAGATTCCCTGAATGTGACTATCTTTCAGATTTTTCAGATGCATTTGTCAAAACCAGGAAACCAACATTGGGATAGTACAATTAATTAAACTCCAGACTTATTTGAATTTCACCAGTTACTTCAAAAATTATTTCATAATTTATTACAATTGACTGGGATTCTCTTTTTCTTTAACGTCTAATACTAAACTTTATTTTTTTTAGATTCTAGTGCTTTGGAAAGAAATATGTTCTAAATTATAAGACAGAGTGACTCTTACTTTCCCAGAGGTGAAATGTGAGCATATATAAAATTTTAAAATTATGATTTTTTATTTTAAGATGTGAATGAGTGAGGAAACACAGTAAAAGCATCTCAAACTTTACTAGTTCAGAGGACAAAATGAGAGAATATTTTTCATAATCTTAGATTGGAAACCTCTCCCTATAATATGACATAAAACTTAGAAGCCCAAAAGGAAAGGATTAATATTAAATTTTTCTCACAGAAAATAATTTTATAAAAAAGATAACACAAAAATGACTATTTACCAATAATAGAACCAACAATTCAATAGAAACATCACATTATAAAGGACTCAAGTAGAAAATTCACAGAAAAAGGATATTACATGGATTATTAGAAAGTGAAAATTCTCTCCAACCTGATTCAAAATAAGGCAAAAACACATAAAAGCATAATCAGATACTATTTTTATCCTATTAGATTGGAAAACACGAGAAGGATTAACAGCACATAACACTGGCAATAATGTAAAGAAGGAGCTAGTATTCCACATTGCTGGTTGAAATATAAATTGATGCCACAATGTTGTTGGCAAAGTATGGATTAGTATGCCCATTTTACAGATGCAGATACTGAGTCTCAGAGAAATTTAGTAAATTGCCCCAAATCTCCCAGCTAAGTACCAGAGTTGTGATTCAGACCTATATTTAACTGAGCCCAAAGCCCACGCCCTTCACTAGTACACATCCTATCTGCAGTAGTCACCTAGGCAGAGGTGAGGCGGCCACTGTCCGGGGTAGTCCTAGGAGGGCTCGTGATACAGGTCATCCAAGTTCTAGACAACCCTAAGGCTTTCTTCCAACTCTGTTTGCCTTTGTTATGTTTGATAATCAAAGGAAAGGTTGTCACAAGGATATTTTTAAGCAAAGATAATTGATTTAATATCACTTTAGCTAAAGCATTAAATGGTGCTTAAAACCCAGGGGGTGGGATATGAAGCAGAAAAGTGAGGTGAGTAATCCACAGCACCTAATTATAAGTTTAACTGCAGATACAATCAGCTCATGACACACCTGCAAGGTGGAAAATACATGTTTAGGGGATTCCTCTGTGAAGCTTCCACTAAACGCCCTGTGTCAGAGAACCGCCTGACCTGCAGCATTTGGCCAAGCCCACTCAAGGAATGAGTGTGTGCCATTTACTTATTAAGACTCACACTTGACATGCATTATTTGGACATGTGATTATCTTGCCTATATTGAAATGATGCAAATGCAAAATGTAAGATGTGATACTTGAAGTCTCCCAGCAACAAACAGGCTGGTGACAGAAATGATGGTCACAAGGACTCCAACAAGGAAAGGCTGACTACTGCAACTTTCAGCAGGCGTTCACACGTTTACACATAGTATGCCCTTCTGCATGACTACTCATGTTTTTAAGAATATTTAAATCAATTCATAACTCACTGTCACATCAGAATTATGGAAACAGAAAGATGAACAGTAGCCCTGGCCAGAGTAG